CGCTCACGCCACCCTTAAACCGCGTCCACTGCCTGCGACACCTTCGGACTCTTCTCTTTCTATCCCTCCCCCCGAGGAGGAACCATCAATCGAAGAGCTTCTCGCTAATTCTCGCCTGTCATCGGTATCGCCGTTCACGGAACAAGGCACTAGTTCCTCTGTCACGAAGCGACCCAAGAAGCGGCGTGGAGGAGCTATAGGCGTGCATGCATGGGAGGCTGAAGCTGAGGATAATGACGGCGATGGGGCAAATTGCATACAACGCGTTACAGTGAAGCGGATACTTCCTGTCCCGGGAACGACTGTGGAAGACCTGTTCGCCCTGGGTCCTATTGCCAGCAGGAAGATTGATGTTGGTGTGGAACCTTTTCCTGAGGAGCCTTCACCCGCTGCCGACGCCAACGCATGGGCGCAGGTAGAAGAACTCGAGAAGGACCTTGAGTCAACAAAGCAGCTCATTGAAAGGCTCAAGGCGCGATTAGAGGCGGTAGAGAAAAAGGTCGAGGACATGGAAGTGGTAGAAGCGGAAAGGGAGAGGGAGAGGGAAGAGAGGCGGAAGAAGAAGGAACAGAGGGAGAGGGAGCGACAAGAGGAGAGAGAACGGGTTGAAGCATCCCGGAAAGCAGTTTCTGCACCACTCGAGTCTCAGACGTATCTGGGAAAATTTATGCGTGCGCTGTTTGGTGGCAGTTCGATACCCTCGGTTAATGGTGGCGAACGACCCCGGTTCTTGACGTCTTCGTATTATGAAAGATTTGTCGAACCTACTACGCTGACTGGACTACCCTCATATATCCTGCTGGTCGGCTTGGGTGTCTGCGCAGTTGTCTTGAGGGTGCTGATCCGCAAGAGCTTTGCTGTAGCTCTCATCACGCGAAGGCGATAACAAACGGACACACTCATTCATCTATTCCCTTCAATCTTTGTTTTTATATGAACTTATTTCTTTCGGCTTCTACATAGCTCTGCTTATTTCTTGTCCTCTCCCTCTCACGACCCGTCACGCCATTTCACGATATATTGACCACGACTAGTTGCTCGCGCATTGATGACCTTGCTCTCTCGCCTCTTGCTTTGTACTTCGTATTGATCTTATAATGGTCAGATTTACGACAATGAATTTACAAATTCAGCTTAAAAGTCCTGTGCGCTGTGTTGTAGACCGTGATGTGAAAGGCTGATGAATACTGGTGAGCAATTGTTTTACTCCTCGTCGCTGTGACCTGGAAGTCTCTTGCAGATATCTTTAAATCTTTGCTGGCCCTGCCACGGTTAAATCATGTCTGCTTGACGTGGTGGCTCCGCATGGCCGCGTCCATAGCATGATGCCATGAGGAAACTAAATGAAGTGTAGGTGTCTCAATCAACTTTATCCTCAACGACACGCTGAAGAAAGGGAGTCATGCAGTCCCCGGCTAGCACTTTACGGCCTGTTTCTAAGCTTGATCAAGCTCATGATTGCTATGTGGGGGTGAGCATGGAGCTGCTTCTAAATCCGAAAACAAGTCGCCACCTTGTCATCGCAGAGCACGTTTCCGAGCAGTCGGCGTTTAGGGTGTCCTGTCCCTTAGTCTCACAAGACTCAGACGCTCCCTGACGGCTTACCACTTCATTATTAGTGTCGATTGGATTGCAACTAGTCTCTGATCAAAGTCAACAGCAGGTGTCGCCGACAGTACACTCTAACATTCAGATGACTCGTGTCAGTTCCTCTATACCAGCAACGGTGTCTTCCAAGCAAAGTCGTAAACCGAAGCGTCTGCATGGCGCTAAGCCTTAGTTGCAGCAGACGTTCAAATATTCGTAACAGAAAGCAGTACAGGAGAGCTGAGTTTATTTGAACGAAGATGTCCTTTCGACAAGTTTCCTTACCATAGGACGTCGATGATATCGAGAGATGCAGATGTATACGGTCAAGTGAGTACATAATCTATACTGCTGTAATTACAATACTAACTGATGAAAGCGGTAGAAATACAAGAGAGATTGACACTAACTACGGGAAAAGAAGGATATGGGGCCGTAGGGATATGGAGTGGGGATGGACAGCGAGCTCTGCATGGATGCCTGTAGGTTATTCTAGAGTGAAAACTCAGATGTCTAGCAGAAATCCAACTGGGAATTCTGCATGTGCACAGGCCGGCGGTCGCACTGGAGGCGCTGATGGAAGGTCTGCCATTTTAGATCGCCACAACAAAATCAGTGCTCATCTACACCGCCAGGACATGACAGACTCGTACCGTTGTATGCCAAATGTCACTGCTTCCCTTCAGCACACATTTCCTTCGCGGCGTGCCTCGTTCTCATCCAATCCTCGCATTTCTGGGAGCAAATCACAATTCTCTCCAGGCCAACCCAGCAGCCTTGCTCTCCTTTGATGCACTCTCATCACCATCGTGGTGATAAATAGCAAGAATGCTGCTGCTGCAAGGGCGATCAGTGCTAGGGCGGTATGGGAGGGAGACATCACCCGGGCGATTGCCATGGGCTGGCTAAGGACCTGTTTTATCCTGGCGACGCAGGTGTATCCTGAGCGCCTGTTTGGATGACATCGTTTCCTACAGGGGCGGTCCCGCACCGAGTAACGACTATAAAGCTAGCGAGTATTTACTTGATGGTTATCCTTGGACGTCTAGGCGGCTCACCATCAATGACTCTTCTCCTTCTCCTTCTCATCCGAGACTATCCTGTATCCTGTTGGCTCGCACTTTCTGATATCCCTGCTCCTCAGTATAATACACAGCTGATGGCATGAAAGACGAAGAGTCACATCTAGAACACTGTTTGTTCCTTTCAGCCAGCTTCTGAAAGACCGTTCGCAGTTTCAATTCTCGCAGTTGGATTTCCTTACTACTCCGCCTTTCACTTGGGACCCAATAAGGCTTCGGTAGATGCTCCAGTCTTGCACATGTTCATCAAAATCTAGGGGGAGATCATGAGCCGGATTTGTTCACATCCGAGTCTCAGTGGGATGGATTCGTGTTTGCTTTCACACATTACTCCTGGCAGGTGACTGCTCGGTCAAAATGCCAAGGAAAGGATTCGAATAAAGACGAGTTACTGACATAGAATTTTGACCACAGCAAACCCTGTCGACTTGACCAGTAAAGGAAATATCGACCCAGTTTGTGGTGGTCAAGAGCTGGATTAAAATCCGAACTGCCCTTGCCTTGAATGCTCTAGCATTAGCCCATCCGGCGGGGACACTACAGCTTCAATCATATACGGGAGGTTCAATGGCACATCGAACCGGAGCTTAAGCCCATTGATTCACTTCTTCCCACAGGAACCTTTCTCTATACGGCCGCGACGTTCCTTATGTGTCATCCCCATCTTCGTCATTCGCCGGCTCCTGCGCGCGCTCGTTCATAACATTGCCAGGCTTTTGACAAGAAAAGGAGACGAGACGAGACGAAGTACTCAGACAACACTTTAGGCATCTAAGTTCGAGCCTCAGACATATCTGTAAAACCTTTTCCATGCGCCGATTCGTTCTCGTTCAGTACTCTGGCTAATGCTGGCGAGCTAACGAGCTATTTAACTTCTTCAAGCTATGTACCACTCGTCGAGCCTACTACCACCGAATGAACTATCTAATGTATCCTGCCGATCAGCTTGGGCATCTGTACAGGCGACAGTTATCTTTACACACTATTGCGAGTGCTGATCTACAAGGGCTTTACCGTCTTGCGAAGGCGCGGTGCCAGCAGTAAACCGGCACACTCATTCGTCTGTGTATTCCCCTCCATCATTGGACTCTTTATTTCTCTCTGCTTCTACTCATACGTTTTAATCTCTCATCCTCGTTCTCGCGACATGCTCGTTGATTTCGACAGTTGCTTGCGCATTGGGAACCTTGCTTTGCATGGACGTAATTTACGCGAGTTATTCCGAAACTAAATATAAGATTTTCACACGGTCGTGGTTGACGATGGTGCGATGATGGCGCTTATTTAACTTGTTTCTCACCATCATGACCTCGAAGCCTCTCGCAGATATTATCAAATCGTTTCCGCCTCTACCACCGTTGGACCGTGGTCACGTAACGGAATGGCTTCGCATGATTGCGTTCATAGCATGGTGCCATGGAGTTCCCAATCGACAATGGGCAGATATCGTAATCCATTTCGTTCCTAACGACAACGTACTAAGCAAAGGGATCCTCTCTCTGATGCCCACACCTATGATGGACTGGGCAGCGTTTGAGCCTGCGGCGAGCCGTATACTCGGTAGGTCTTCCTCTGTTTTGTTCTTTGAATCCGTGTATTCACCTCACTGAAGTGACTCTTCATTCTGATGTGGGAATGGCTGCTGGCATCATCGGCGGCATAGCTACGGCACCTGTCTCAAGTGCTTTACAAGCGATTATTGCTGCGAGGACAGCATTTGTCACAAGCTCTTTTGCTTTACCGTCTAATTTGATTGCGGACACTGCCCGCTCTGTACGGTGAGAAGGTCGACTTAGTTTTCAGCATAATCATACCTATCTTATCCTTACTCAAGGCAAATAGTCGATGATATACGAGTCGACCAAGAAGCTATGATACAGAAGACTTCAAGTGGTGTCTATCTACTCTTGGGGCCTGTCATCATGGCACTGGATCGTACCAGTGCGGCCAATTTCCTTGCCGATGGCTTCAAGATTATTGGAGACCTTGGGAAAGGTCTGGCTTTGGTGGAAGAAACATGCTCTCAAAAGAGATATTTAGCTTTTGGGATAGAATATTCTTCAAAGGTGTCTTCTAAGCTATAAAGATATTTAGTTGGATCCGGATATATCAACAGGTAACTTGGCGCTAGACTAGGAAGACGGGGCTTCAGCGCTGCCGGCCTTCAGGTACTGTGGGAGTATGTATGCGTCAATATTCCAATATTCCAGAGGAAGCCATCCACTTCCATGGGTTTTTCTTATAGAATATCTGTTGGCGAACATGTGCACCGTACTAAGCAACTTGTAAGAGATTCAAGTTACACCAAAACAATGAATCAAGCCAAAAGATAGGCACTACCAGGGTTCGAACCTGGGTTGTGGGAATACGATTACATCAGAATCCCATGTGCTACCACTACACCATAGCGCCATACAAGATATTTGACTTGTAAGCTATAGATTTAATACAAATCCTACGCCTTACTATTTCACGTGATGAATATATTGGTAAATGAATGATGATCATTTCTATACTTTCCTTTCTTCTTTTCTACCACGACGATGATGGATGAATCTGCCTTGTTGCTACCTATTTCTTGCAGATTCAGTGAGTATATCCTTCTAGGCTCACGCCAGCGAAATGATGCGTTCTTCCTGCAGTTCCGTATGACCAATGGCTCACCACCCACGTCGACCCTGCGTGGAAGGTGAAACAGGTAAAGCACTGGATTCTATCAAAATGTATATCCCATATCAAGGAGGAAGTCGACATTGAAGTGCCCGAGCCTCGACACAGATCTCCGTCTCCCATTGTATTCGCACCGCCGAAGCATCATCGACCTATATCGCCTATTGAATTTAGTACAAGGATCGGCAGTGGGTACGAGGAGGATGACGAAGCTGAGGCTGAGGGCGACGATATGCAGAAACTGTCTGCTCAGCTCCCCAGTACTTCTGCATTACCTGCCACGGAACCACCGCCTCCAGCTAAAGCAAAGGCCAGGCGGAAGAAGAAATCTACTTCAACCTCGGAGCCTATACATCCCCATCACCGCTCGGCATACGAGCCTTCTCGTCTCACTCTGTTACGCTTTTCGACCGGTCAGATCTTGGAGGATGACTTCGCCTTTGCTTGGTATGATATTCAGCCTGGAGAGCTATTTGAAGTCCATCGCGTCGGTGTCGTGCTGAAGTTGCAGAGAACGGCGCCATCAGAGTATGCCAAGCCTTATTGGGAAGGGTGGGCAAAGGCAGTGACGAATTCGAATGGGAAGAAGAAGAACGTGATGGGCGAAGGGGGGAAAGAAAGCAAAGTCGAGTGGAAGGACCGGTGGGTGGTGGTCAGAGAAGGTCAGATGCAACTGTGTAAAGACCGTTCGGTAACTTCGCTCTCATCATGTCGCTTTTCTGTCATTCTCACGTTTTCCGAAGGATCCCATCCCGCACAAGGCTCTTTTCTTGTCCCATTTAACTGCGATTCGAGGGTCAGATCACCTCAAACAGAACACCATTGAGGTCACCCCGGAAATGCGAATCATCTGTGCCAAGTTCAAAATACGTTCGAGTGTCACGACATCGACAGTAGTCGAGACAGTCTCGTCTGAGAAAGATGCTGTGCCATCAACGACGTTCACCGTAATATCTCCTCCCAAGAAGCCCCCTCCACCGTTGACCATAGATCTTCGACGAACGCGGAAACGTGCTTCGACAATATCTCATCTGCCTCGTAAAACCGGGCATGACTCAGACTCAACTAATCCAGATGGCGAAGACGACTCTGATTCAACGCTATCTTCTCCTGTGTTCGCTCACGACCCAACCGATGAGGACCACGATGATCTTGATGACGAGCACGACATCAAGTCAGTCCTGGGCCTACCCCGCTATCGATATAGACATGACAGAGCCATCAAAATCCGTGGCTCTGCAGAAGATGATGACGATTTGCCCTCGATTGACCCACCAGGGGAAAAATCATCAGAAATCGGTGAATGGATCGTCCTGGACCTGCTCGATGATAGCGGGTACTTGTCCTTACTGCGTACTCTTCATCGACTATTCCCGCATGAACACTTGTCCATCTGCGAGGCATCGACGTTCGTCTCGAGCCTTCTACCCTCGTTAGATTCACCGGGAACACCCATCCCTCCTACCTCCCCTCCCACGTCGGCTTCGACGCACCCGAGCTCGCTGCTCCCTTCTCTACCACACAACTACGGTGCGTTGGCATTTCCCGAATGGCGCACGGAGCTTGTGCACCGTGCTCGTAGAGCAGGAATAGGGAACATCGGCGGTGCCATGGGCTGTCTGATGTGGGGTCTGGCACATGCGAGGGAGGAGGAGGAAGAGGTAGAAGGGGACGAGAGTGATACGGGTTCGTTGGCAGAGTGGGATGGGTGGATGGTTGATCTAGCGAGGCAGGCAACTGCGATGAAGGAACGCGAGAAAGAGCCGACGAATGATGAGGGTTATGAAGATGAGGAAGAGGACGACGCGGACTACTACCAGGAGCAGTCTGAAAGAGTGGCAATGGAGCCTTCGGGTGTCGTAACCTCGATCCCGCCATTTGCTTCACCTGCGACGACGCCCCCGCTATCGTCCCCGTCTTCCTCTGAGTCGCTATACAGGAGATCGGGGGCACTGAATGTGAATGTGCTTCTTGACGGGAACGGTCGTGAATTGCGACACAGCAGGTCGGATGAGCCACAGCTGCACGAGCAGGGCCCCGCACGTCGTCCGAGTATGCCATCACTGTTGTTTGGAGGCTCCAATATAGGGAGGTCAGGCAGTGTGTTGAAGAAGGGGAAGGGGAAGGAGAGAAAGAAAGACCGGGCGAGAACTATTCATCATGATGAACCGGCGGATGCGGAAGGGAAGAAGAAGAGTGGAATAGCGAGGGGCATGGAGAAGATTGTGAGGGGTTTAGATCCAACTTTGGATTTCGTTGACCCTCGGTAAGTGCTTATTGTTGTAATAGTAATACCTATACTGTACACGCTGTGTTTTTGGGGATGTCTGGTGTATTAATTGTATGTCTCTGTATACCTATCCTACTTCCTGTTGTTTTTAATGTATCGAGCTTGTAGAACCTGAATAATGTACTCTCCTTTGAAAAACTAGAACCTCACCTAAAACTTGTCGATATGGAACTTGACGAAGCTGCGTAATGGGAAGCGCAAAGATTACGGCCCATAGATCTCGGCGCTGGTGATGGTAAGTCGGTTTGCTGGTAAGAGGGGAACGCGATCCTCGTTTCCCGCGCTATATACAACAAATATAACTCTAGGATCGCGGGAGCCTTAGACTTAGCCACCAGGGTAGGTTTATTTTGGGGCTGCTGAGATCACTGGTAAAGAGCAATACCGCTGATACGGTGTTTAATTAGTGGAGACCCCAATCATCGGCCTGCAGACAAAGTTATGCAGCTATTGGAAAATGTTACGCTGGTACTAACTTCAATTCGTTTGTCCGCAGAATTAAGAGTTTTCGTTATTACCTGAGATTACTACAAGTACATATATATCGTGAATAATGATACAATATTTCATAAATGATAATACTAAAGACGCAGTCAACGTCGTTTAGCAGCCTCCCTCATACTTTTAGCTACATTCTCATTCCATCCATAAGTCAACGCGTTAGCAATTCCTACGAACTGCGTCGTGGCCTGCATAAGCTGCAGCACTCTTGATGTATGCCCTGATGCCTCCACCAGCCTATTGCACAACCCTGGTATCCACAGCACTATATATGCTATGGGATACGCATTTAGCAAGAGTATCTTCGCCACTTGCTTCTGCTTCTTCTGATCCATCACATGCATTGACGAGTGGTGCATATGAGCGCTGGACGTCCTCGGTGGGTAGTAATACTGCGTTGGGGGCGGCCCCTCCTCGTCCGAGATATCCGGTCGATCCAAAGGTGGACCTTTCTCCGAGTCCGCAGAGGTCTCCTCATTGAACTGGACCTGCGACACGTGCATCTTGAGCTCTGGCCCTCGCGGAGGATCCGCGGAGACGATGGAAGAGTGCGACTGATTCGAGGAACCCGTTGAGGTTTTAACTTGGTTAGCGATCAGGAAGTTCATTGTTCGGAAGCGTTTTTTGAGATGGATGTATAGGTATGCATACAGCCCTTGAAAAGAACCATTGAGCCCACGCGGGTTGAAAACAACAGAAAATGCTTACCGATTTCGGAGAATATGAAGAAAAATCGCCATGCATGAGCCAGGACGTAGCGTAGATACGCTGGCTCGGTATGTATCCAGCTAGAGACATTAATCGTGAGCCAATGTTACCAGCATGAGATTCAGGAGGACTTACCACCAGTTACCAGACACCGCACTATAATAGCCCTTTCCCAGGGCCACAGAACCTTGACTGCGTGTCAGGAGGTGCCGGAAAAAGGATGCGCCACCCACTTGTGATTATCGGCAGCACCCAGGTACTGGCGCAGACAAGAGCGACCTTCCACCTTGAGCGGTTGCTCAACCATCCGTCTGGAGGACCGGTCACGACGATTACAGTCACTATTGCGATTGCAAATATGGACGTATCCGTAGCCTAAAGCTTGTACGATGGGTACAGGACCGGGGGCAGGGGCGTAATAGCGCTGACCTGGACAGATAGTTGACCGATGAAACCGTTAGCGACGCATGCCGCATTGTATGGTAGCAGTCCCTTGGCAAGGACAAAGACACCTGAAATACTGTTGTTGAGGCCATTTATAAAATCTAGAACAGTCGAAGTCAGCAGGGTGTGTGCAAAGTGACACTAAGAGATAGAAAAGTTACGAATATTCACCTGCAACGGCCAGGTTGAGGATGAGAAGATGTCTATGATGTCTCTTCACAGGAAGGAAGACGTAGCAAAGTATGATGAACCCCGACCCAAGAGCGGATAGTGTACTCCCAACGAAGTTCGCTACAGCCAACGCGAGGGCAAAATGACTGAGAGTCATCACCGCATGGGGGATAAGACGATGTCTGCAACATCCTCGTCCTCATTTGTATTAGATGAAGAAAAACGATAATCGGTTATTCCGAGGCCGCATGTCCTTTTCCATCAACAGCCCTGCATTATAGCACCTTCCATCGATCACTGGATATTAGGGCACCCAAGCGAGGCTAGCCTTACCCAAACCAATCGTATTCTGATAATGCGATTAGGAATACACAAGTGCTGGAAACTGTAATCGTGATTCAAGAATGGTGCGTTCAATCGACAACGATCTTGGAGGCACTTCGCATGAGTGAAAAGAATAATATTCGTAAGCACGCTTACCGGAACATGGAGGAGTCTTCAGAGAAAGAACCAGACCAGATGATGGCTCAAGCGCAGCCGAAGCGCCGATTTAATCTGCACCACAATCAGACGAAGCAAAGCCTCATGACATGTCTGCTTGACATCTTCCACTGCCTTCTGGCAGTGGCGCAGGACACTTCGCAAACCGATATCCCATTCGAGAAAAGTAAAGCAACAAGTTGCATCCTCGAGGGGAGATACGTCGGACTGCTTAAGTTGCATCAGCGAAAGCGCCAGAGGGTGTAAAGAAGATCATAGTGTATATACCACTCGATTCCCTGTTCAAGATCTATCGATCGTACGCATTTCATTCTTGAACGGCACGAGAGATCGAAAGTTCGCCTCGTTTTCAATGTTCGGTCTTGACGAGGAGAAAAGCAGCACAGGTAGTGAGGTACAAAGTCACTGCTTGCTTCCTAGTCGTTGGCAGAATGACCGCTGTCAGGGCAACGTCGTCACTCCGATTCTGGAACTGAATGGTCCTGCAAGAGTATTTCAGCCTTCAAAGGGTCGTGTAATTCATCCGTCATCCACCCTATGTCCCATGATTTGAGAGGGCATCCGCTTCGCAGAAAGTGCAGAGATACAGGGGGAAGTTGGCAGTCGAGGACGATGAATGAAAACAGGTGAATGCAAACAACTAATATCGAGCTGTATCACTTCAAGGTAACTACTGCAACCTGGTAATCACCGTAAGTTGAACTTCGCAACAAAGATCCGTGATAGACGTATTCAAATTGCACAGGTCAGGGATTCTGATGTTATCCGCGAAGCTCATTGCGCCGAGAAGAATGAAAAGAAACTGTCAGTCCGGCCTGTTGATACTGTCCGAGCGGGTTGTTGATGAAAGGCAATTCCCGAACCCAAATTGGATACATAGTCGCACGCCACAAGCGCGCCTAATTATGATCACGAGCTGCGGTCTCGTAAGTAGATGCGCCGTGTCTATAAAGATTGTTCATGAGAGCAACGGTAGATACACGTGCTACCGGTGTGTTGAACTCAATCGAGCTAAAATAACGGTGCACACCTTCAGTGATGCGATGATAATTCATGCACTTAATACTGGATAAGTAGCAGATAGGCGGTAACCGCGTATTATCTGACTCTGGTACCAGCTTACTGGAAAGTCATATTGGGAGAAAATAAGCGAAACTCACTATGCCTAATGAACAGAGTTGGGTTCTATGCTGGTCCGAGGATGCAATTGATGAATCATGATATTTTTTAGTTGATCTATGGGAGTCACAATTTCTGGTGTCGTGGAAATGCTGGTATCCTGGAGACTCGAGCCTTGGTACCTTGCTATTTCGCGCCAGACGACTGTTGCATTACAGTCGATATGATTACTTGGGATCGATCCGACCTTGCAACCAGATGCGCGCCGGTGACAGGACAGATTTAGCAGGGAGGTACAGCCTTGATTGAAGCCAGATCTAGCAACTAGAAATAAGGCGGAATGGAATCAAACTTTTCAGATACTTGATTGTTCTCAACCACCGATACAGATGCGCACTCTATGCTCTGGTGGATGGAGGTCCTCAAAAGGTGAAAATGACGGGGATACGAGAACGAGATGTCCGAGTTGGAATTTATTCCAGAATCGTTGGAGGAACTTGGGAGGAACTCCATGATTCTTCTTAGTCCTTTGTTTAACGTTACCTTGTTTGCAAGGTCGAGCAGGGGGATTGCGTTAGTCTGTTGTTTAAACGTGGGAGTTTACTTAGAACCGTGCTATTACCAAACATGCCATAAGTCCATGGGCACTGCGCTGAACAGAACCAGATTTGGGGATACCGGCGGCAAGTTCAGCGCGCCGATTCAGGCCGGTCCACTGGTCTGGACAGAAAATAATGCATGCGCTACCTTTCCCTTCGTATCAGATTGATTTTATGCGACAAGAGACATTATATCACCAGCCCTCCATGGCTTCCAAACGCGCCCCAAGACTTTAAATAACTCAATTGCGCGCTGCCTGGTTTCCATCAAAAATTGGGATAACTCGGTTGCAAGGCAGACCGTCCCTCCCTTCCATCAATAGGTCTGTATCGTTGTCTGCCTACGAGAGACTAAGGAACACCGTCTCGTGATTAATCCGAAAACTATATATGTAATAAACGCGAGGAACCACCGATGACTCGATCTAGCGCGCTTCACTCATACTGATGACCATTGAAACGATGGTTGAAGCTGTTTGTCGGCGATCATGATGACTGAATTCCACCATATCAATCTAGATGATCGGACCGTAAATTGAACTTGTCTTGTTGCATTGATTAGCCTGTATTGCCATGACGGAGGAAAGGAATGGAGACGAACTTAGCGCTCCAATGCTTCTCAGCCGCTAGGGAATCAAATCTGCCAAAATTCTATGATCTACCTACCAACTTTTCACCTGACAGGAACGTCATTTAGTTCCTTGACAGATCATACGAAGTAGATGAATTTACTTCTTCCATGCACTACCACACATTTGGAGCTCAACCTAGCCATGAGACCTGCATCCTCCCGGCGAATTCAGCCCGTCTAGGAACCACCTCGAAGAAATAGTTGCATGTATCACGGGCACCGTGACTCTGATAGTAGAGGCTGTTTAGCTTGATGCCCTTGTTCGACGTCGGAGTTTGCATCATATGTATATTACGATGGCGGATTATATTTACTAGATTTACGCTTCTTTGTACAGCCATAGCAGGCGTTCCCGAATTGCGACTGGATATCAGCAATCAACCCCTTGACGGATTCGATGAAAGATCGCCATTGCAGTCCGAGTCCACGCGCTAGGCCGGCTATCAATACAAGTATGCTATGTTGATTATAGATTCATCGTGTATTTCGATGTTCTAAGTTTCATGCTGTACCGCATTCTGAAACGTTGCCAGCCTTGACCTTGACTACACTCGTCTTATACGTGTTAATGCATGCCAACAAAAAGTCACGCACTACATCAACAGCAGGGTATAAAGGACGGTGGGCCAGATGGATATTTCTTCACTACTTTACTTTCTTCTCTAGCCCGGAGCCAGAATCAAGAACACAAACCCGCTTATAATCATTATGTCTTATAAACACATTCTTTCAACCGCATCCCTCAAAAATATTATGTGCGTTTTATTTCGATTTTTATCCAATGAATAATGCTCACGACGAATCTAGAATCGTTCTCAAACGAGATTACTTTAGGTTCGCACCCTGTTTAACTATAATTCTGTCCTTCGGCTTTTACTCAACGGAGTTCTTATCAGTCCTTCAAAGTCTGGTCAAGGGTAAGCCATTTCCATTATATCAGATATGATTTCATTTTACCTGGCGTTTCACAGATACATCCCCCGTGGAAAACAAACCAACTCTAGCCAGGGCTCCACTAAGAATGGAGGTGGGCCCAAGGGGCAAGGGACCAAAAAATAAAGATTGATCATCGTCAGCCTCACGAGCACGATATACTTATTAATGCCGTATAACTCACACGCCCTTCATCATTTAATCCCTAATCAATTTATACTTATTTTAAGTGATCATATAATCTTAGAGTCGCGTATCGTCTACTACGTTTCGTTTCTGTATGGTCCCCAGCTATAGCTTTAGTAGTTGTTAATGGAGTGCCTTTACATCGGAAACGCACCTCCCAGGAGCTTATCCTTGTGTCCTTTCGTCGCAAGCCTAACGGTAGCACTTCCTTGACTATTACAAGACATTGGCATGGCTCCAGAAATGGATTAAGCTTCCATTGTTGAATCGCCGAGTCTCGCTGGCGGACATTGATGATACGAGTAAGGGAAAAGGTAGCCCATCACAACAGTGTTTTTCCTGCTGTGAACAGCAATATGTCTACCTGATTTATTCATTGAATGTAGCATTTCGAAGCACGAATGTATTTTGTCAGGGAAAAGGGAGAACAAAGTAGCTGATGACTGCGCAAGCGTGTCTCCCGAGACTAGAAATGCACGTCAAAGTAGTCTAATATGGACAGTCAGAGTAAAACTATTTGAAAACGTCGGAGAAGCGTACCTTGTTCTATGAATCGACCAGAGAACGTCACTAGATAAGGGTATGGCCTGTATATACTTACATCCATACGTCTCGATGGTAAAGCTGAATTTCTGGAAACGCGACAAAGCTGAGGACGTATATTTTGTTGCAGGATTGACAAATAATACTATGGAATCAGAGGGTTAAGGTTCACTTTGGTACCGTGGCATTTCACCGACCTGGAATGAGTTGCTCTCATTACTCTTGACAGTGGTGCAACTATACATTCCCGGTGCTTCGTCGGTCGTGTGGGTGACGATAGGTGGTACTGACAGCCTTACTGCCCGTCGGTCATAAATGAAACAGACTAGTTTTCTAGGGACTGGGGAATATCGTACCTACTACCGACTGGGCAGGCTCCAGTGTCCACTTCCACTTGGCTTTCTTCTGGGTTGGACCCACCGTCACCCATCACATGGCATGATGGAATTTCTAAGTTCCGAGGGATAAAGCAGCAAGAAAAAACACGTTTACAGCACCGTAGGACGGCAAAAAGATGACAAGGATGGGACTCGAACCCACGCCCTTTCGGACCAGATATCATCGTAGGCAGAACCTGCCTTGGTCCAGATTTACATAGAAATCCATGTTCCTTAGTCTGGCGCCTTAACCACTCGGCCACCTTGCCTCCGGACGTGAATCTTTAGCGGTAATTCCGTTTCCAAACTGCCAGGTATGCGTTTTATATGTCAATCTCGCTCGTTCGGAAGACGGGATGCGGAAGGACTGATCAACGACAACGTGGGGCCGATCACGCAAAATTTTCGGCTGCCCAATTGGAAATTTCAAGAAAAGTAGCATTCTGTAAGTAAGACATTCTGAAATGAAGAACTTAATGGATAAGACTTTACCTCAGTTCTTCCCCATCCCGCCTTCCGAACAAGCGAGATTGACATATAAATCGCATACCTGGCAGTTTGGAAATGGAATTACCGCTAAAGATTCACGTCCGGAGGCAAGGTGGCCGAGTGGTTAAGGCGCCAGACTAAGGAACATGGATTTCTATGTAAATCTGGACCAAGGCAGGTTCTGCCTACGATGATATCTGGTCCGAAAGGGCGTGGGTTCGAGTCCCATCCTTGTCATCTTTTTGCCGTCCTACGGTGCTGTAAACGTGTTTTTTCTTGCTGCTTTATCCCTCGGAACTTAGAAATTCCATCATATCATGTAATGGGTGACGGCGGGTCCAACCCGAAGGGAGCCAAATGGAAGTGGACACTGGAGCTGCCCCGCCGGTACGGTAGTCGCTGGAAAACCAGTCGTTTTCATCTATGACCCAGAATCTTTCTTCGAGCTACTACTTTCTTCGAGCTACTTCGAAGAAAGATTCTGGGAACGCCTTCCGTTTAGGATGACTCCGAAGCCGGATGTCCCGGATGGAAGCTCCTGGACAACAAGGATATACAATGCCTCTGGCTCCAATTTTGAACATTACAGTTCTTCCTCCGCAACCATCAGACTTCATGCTCCTCCAATTACCGGTAGAGCTTCTTCTCAAGATATCTGAACTGGTAAACGCCTCTATTTTTCCCACTCACTTTTGTAACTTACTTTTCTGCAGCTCAACAATGAAAGTCAGAGGAACCTTCGTCTCGTCTGCAGGTTGCTCAACGATGCCACCATGGAGCTTATTTTTGCGGATTTCAAGATAAATGCTACTGAAGATGCCTTGCTGTCGAATCGGGCCATGTTGAAAGCGCTGGCGACGCGAACTACGGATATCTGGAGATACGTCAAGGTGCTGCGTCTGGTCCAATCTCCCCGTCTAGGGCCGCCTGTCAAGAGTGTTGAAATGGCTCCCAAGTCGAGAAAGGTTGTTTCAAGTGGATTGTACAAGGCGATTGCGTCGTTGGAAAACGTTACAACTGTCGAGTGAGTTATGAACAGTTTCTTCTAGGCATCGAGCCAATTTTCTTGCAGCTGGTTTAGTGTTAAACCCGTCCACGACACCATCACTGGGGCCGTGATCTCAAGTATCTGTCGACTCCCTTCTCTTCAAACCTTCGTACTGTACATGTCGAACAGGATGCATCGTCAACTCCCCCGCTTTCACCTGAAGAACCTCGCATCAATGGATCTTTCGTTCAGTGGACCGTCTTGGGATGGATTTCTCCGTGATAGCCTGCCCGGTATCTTGGAAAACTGCCCCGACTTATCTTTTCTTGCTCTGGCCGACCACACTCGTGGTCCCGCAACTACATTGGGCAGCTTATTTCAAAACCTCCGCCGTCCATTGCGATTGAAGTCGCTGGTTCTCAGCAAGATACGCGTCCCGCCGTCTATCATCCTCGTTCCTCATTTCCAGTTCCTCACAGTCCTCGGTGTAGCGCCTTCTGGAATGTTTCCACCCAAATTCTGGTCCGGCTTGTCCGACGTTCATCTCCATTCTGTCAATGTTGATGATATCAATACGGAACTCCTGGACTATCTGTTGTCATACACTGGCGTGGAGGAATTCAGATTCCAGGTGCCTGAAGATAATGCCGAGTATGACAAGCTTGGAACGAAGTTCTTTTCTCAAGTCCTACCTCATCATTCTGCGACGTTAAAGATACTGAGCATCCAACCAGCGTTTGAGGGAATGTGGTCTTTTCAGGAATCAACTATGTTACCCATCCTACAGTGTCGCAATCTGGTCACTCTCTGGGTATCGTTGCGCTTCTCGGACATTTCCAACCCCACTGAACCAGGGATAGTCGTCAGTCTATCTCCTACTTTTATTTATCAAGCATTTTCTCATTTCTTTTACCAGGCGTACCTGTTACACTCCCTCAAATTGTTGCCCGACCTCTCTGATCTTTATTTGGAGTGCCCCATGTCTTTCTCCCCGCGTTTCCCCCCGACCAATGACAATCGCTGGAAAGGGAAACATATGCTCGGACAGGCGATTGAGGCTGTCAACACTATACCCAACCAGGATCCGTATCGCACCCTTCAAATTATGGTTGAGCCGTTTGGCGGAAAGTATACAGCTCATTGGAACGCCGACAGTGACTTCTCTGCTTTTTATGCTGAGACTCTGTATACTGACGGGATGATTATGCTTCCATTGGATATTTAAGAGATTACCTGAGCATGTATGTAAAATAGAAAGGCAGGAGTGTAATAAATACAAATTTACTTATTTCCTATGCAACTACTGTGTCGCCGTCGACGTCTTTCTCGTGGTTCCGTTCTAGGGTTTTCGTCTTGTCTTGAAGGAGTAGCGTAGGATGGAATATGTTGAACGTATAAAGTGCGAGTACAATCATCGTTCCGTCGAGCACATCTAGTCAGTCGATGAGACAATGACCCAAGGATGAGACGTAGAACCTCACTGAAATAAACCTCAGTGGTAATGATTCTTCCCGTCCACCCATCAGACAGCTCAATCGTACGATATACAGCTCTGGTCTACTGTCAATTCGGCTGCCAAGTTCCAAGACAAAGAAGACGTACCGAATGAACAGGCAAACCGTACTGAAGGCGAGAGCCGCGGTGAGGAGTTTCAATTTCGTGTTCAAGTGACCTCTAGTTATGTCGCGTCCAGGAATAGGCTTATCAGCCAAGTATCTTAGGAGGAACTCGGTGCCCAAGATGGAGTATATCGTGATGACAGCTGCTTCTTGTCAGAGAGAAGGTCTTGTAAATGATGAATCGATGAACGTACCCATTTGGAAGGCAATACCGCCTAGCATAATATGTCCTCCCTGTGGAACCGCCAAGAGTTAGATTTCTGACCAGCGAAATGATAAATCCTGCTACACCTTCTCTGGATCTGTGTCCTGCGATACAGCCGTCGCTGCCAATCCACCACCAACAGCTTGGATCACAAGAGATATTATATCGCATGAACAAAAGAGAATAAGATCTAGAGAAGCCCAGAGAATGAGTTAAGCAAGGGAGGAGATCCATAGGCAAAAAGTACACACATGCTCTTGGACTCAAGCGACTGTACCCGGCTCCAAGACGTTCAATCAGCTTCTCTAGAATCACAAAATTGGCGGCCAAGAGCGGCGTCGGTGCCAAGATGGTACAGGTCAACCTATTCTCATATCAATCAAAAGCTGTATGGAAGGAGTCCGACTGGACCAATGGCAGTGGACCTACTGCATCTCGTAAGGGTCTGGGAGTCCAGGGTTGGAACTTGACCATAGCCGTGCGCTCCATCCCAGAATCTCGAGGAGGCCACACAGGACTGCGGTAGCTAATAACCACCATGCCCGAGAGAAGACCGCTTGGCCGGTATGTATTACTGCGGTGAATAAGATAGGTGCGTGTTGAACACGAGATGAGGACATACGGGTTGATACAGAAAAAAGGACCAAGAACAATATTGAGATCCCTCTGTCGGGAATATATCCATAGAAACTGTCCACTTGCATGGCGCGTTTGCCGAAACCAAGTACTGGAAGACCGGTGGGGAGTCAGCATAAGGGATGTTGGATGGATGAAGAGTGACTCGCCTTCGTCTAACATCATGCACACAATATGGGGTTCGTTGTCGAAACAGAAATAGGCGCTTTCCTTCTCTTATACGCTCCCCAAGGTGAAACGGAAGGAAATGGAGATGGAAGGAAAGAACACGAGTAATTAAATCATCGTGCCGCCGGCGGGTTCCTATGTGGGTGAGTCATCAAGCAAGCGGTGTCCTATTGGCACGGAGATCCCTCAAGATCCTGATGAACTCGATACCTTGACCATGTCAGCTCCAACTACAGCGGGGAACGACTCGAACAAAAGCTTCAATAAGAACTTTGCCAGTGTGGAGAGGTATCCAGCAGTACAGTGCAGAGCCCTTGAGAAACCTCTCTACTGAGCAGAGTCTAGAGTACGTACGTCGACGTCAAACTTGAGCAGGAAAATCAATTATCAGTGGAATTTCGAAAAAACTGCTCCCCCGGCCCGCGGGTCACTTGTCCCGCGGATGATGACGTACATCCTTTGACACCCTTGTCCGTATCCATCCTCGTACATTCTCAGTTGAGTTGACTGAGGAGTATCTTTGGTAAAAGATTTCTGTATCTACTAGTTATAAAATCTACTGGCCACTAACTCGAACTTTTCTTTGCGTTAGGCTACAGCACTGTCAAGTGACAAACAGCTGCTCGTACCAGAATAGTATCAAACAACCCTAGTAGTGCAATACCGCATCAATACACTGTTAAGTTTGATGCCAAATCAGATACTTAGGCGATAAGTGCGACTCTTCATGCTCATAAATTCTATCCTTTGACAGATCTGTACAGGACTGAATACAGCTGAATACACTCACGTTACAGATCCCAATCGGCCGGAAAAATGAATACTAGCCTTCTAAGACTTCCCTTTCTATTATCAGCGACTTACGGCGTCCACAAATCAATGACACCGCCTCATCTGGCGCCTGCAGAAGAGCGTCTACCCATCAGAGGCTTAGATATCGAACGAGCAGCACCGGCCTTTGCCATCTTCACCAAGGTCGGTCATAATCTAGCGCGTGTACTAGTCATGTTCCGATTCTTCGCCATGATACTTAGTGACCATATTCATCCTTTAGGTGACGTTTTACTTGCTCTGTGCAACTGAAACACTTGCGATCCTCTCCGCCAACGATCTTTTACCTGTTCGATATGTTCCCCTCCATCTCATGCCATCTCTGAACCTCCC